GTTCTAACCAAAATAAATTCGATTTTGTTTCTTCACTTTCGGCAATCAAAAGGAGAACGAAGGTTGGGTTATTGGATCACAAGAAACACATGTGCAAATTAAACCGAAAAATTAACTCAATATTCCGAGCACCGTGCCGTAAAGCGTAGAAAGGAACTACCCGTTAGGGGAACCGTCATTTTAGCTTTATTCGTTTTTACCTTTATCCGTTCACTTAATATCAAATGCTATCATTTTAGAAGTCTAGTACCATTTTAGAACTTTTCGTAACATTTAAGACAGGATTTCCAAAATTCGTTGCTGCACTCCATCAGGGGCTCCTATTTCTTTAATTCTGTTTGGTATTCATTTTTAGTATATTTTAGTACTTTCGTACACTTTTAGTAAAAAAACACGCCTGCGCACCAAAACCGACTCATCTCAAGATTCTAGCTTCAGCTTCAACCAGTGAGTCTGCAAGACAGTTATTTCACTACTTTTTTATATCTATAGATAAGGATCAAAAAGGCCCCTATGTAGACTCTCTTAGGGGTTAAAATCTTCTTGTTTTTTGTCTGCAATACACCATTACCAAAAATGAACGGATTCCAAGGAATCCTCATCAAAAAATTTCAAAATATTAAAAGACCAACTTTGAGAAATTTCGTTGGAAAATTTAGATCGGAATATACAATTATTTAGGGTCTACACCTCAATTTGGATCTATATGGGTAGTTATGTGTAAGTATATTTTCTGTCCGCTCGGAACACAAACTGCCAATTTACAACAATTCCGGTTGAAAAATATGTCTAAACCCCTAAAATTGCTTTAATCGTGCGGTAAAGTAACATGGGGCCATACAAATTCGTGAACCTATCTGTCCCCTTTTTAATACCAACTACGCACCTGAAATATATTTCAGCCAAAGTTTGTCCATCTAATAAATTGTTCTACAGACGAACGGATAGGCGGACGATTAAAATGGCTCAGTTGATCAAGAATTTATATCCTTTATGGGCTTTTAATTGGTTACTTCGAGGAGATATTAAATTAATATACACTCTATAGTAGGGTGTAAGAAATTTCAATATTAATCATAAATACCCAAAAACCAAGTTTTCCGAAAACCAATTCTTGATGGATTACTAGAGCTAAATTAGAGGATTTTACGACATTGTTTGGAATATTTTTAAATAATAATCATTTTTTATTTTTTTGCATAATTTTATACAATTTATTTTAGATTCTATTCCATCTATAATCACAAATTATCTCAGACAAATTCTAAAGGATTTTTATAGCTATTCCTGATAAAAAATGTCTACATGTCATATTAAAGCTAGTTTATCTTTAGAGAATTTTTTTCTCAGAAGCCTTTAATATCTCGCATTTGTCAACACATCTTGATAAATATCCATAGAATAATGTTTAAACAAGCGTTTGTGCGTACATAAGTGGATGGATGCTCTTGTTCGAGGAGCACGTCATGCGTACGATATGTTCACCAGGTTATTTCCATAATGTTTTTGTATCGCATTTTTTTATACACAATCTACCTCCGTCCCAGTGGGGAGGTTCATTTACCGAGAGGATCTTTGTTTGTATAAAAGTATACATGAATTACATTGTTTATCATTTAGTCAAGTTTGTTGTAGAAAACAAAAAAAAAGCAACATGAAAAAAATAATGCGAGGGATGTTGGAGAAGGATAGGAATTTTGACATAATAAGGATATTCCTAATAAGAGGAACAGAAACTGGATCGAAACCCGCGTCGCAGTGACCGAAAAATGGCTCGTGAGCTGAACATATCGCAATATTCCATTCGGCAAATATTGAAAAATGAGCTCGGGGTAAAGCCATTAACATTCCAAAAATGGCCAGAACTTACACCGGAACAGAAAGAAAATAGACTCAAAAAGCTAAAGATTTGCTTCGCTTGGCCGAAAGTGGTGAACTGCTGAATTAGGTTTTCTCCGATGAGAAAACATTCGTTTCCAGCAGTTTGTAAACAATGAAAATAATTGTGTTTACTTGCCAAAGAGGTCAGCTGAAAATGTGTACCTTCGGTTGGTCACCAGAACTCAAGCACAGGTCAAAGTGATGTTGCGGGCCGCCATAACAGCCGATGGTCATTCTACGCTCGTAATTATCGACCTTGGCATCAGAATAAGTGCCGAATATTATCGCGAAAATATTCTGGAGGATGTATAAAAGCCTTGGGAACGCAAACATTTTGGCCGCAGACGTTGGACATTCCAACAGGACTCATCACCATCGCACTCAGTACGCGCCACCCAAGAATGGTTATGGATACCAATCCCTTGAACTATTGTGTCTGGAGTATTTTAAAAAGTACCAAAGTGTCGATCACCTCAATCAAGCGCTTCGCCGGGAATGGGCCAAAATATGGAAAGCAGAGCAACATTCGGGCAGCGTGTGACGGTTTCATTGACCGTTTAAAGGCCATAATTCGTGCCAAAGGTGACCAATTCGAACAATTCTAAACTTATAAAATTTGATGCTATTTCCGGCATTTTTACTTTCATTAAAATTTAAATTAAAAAAAATTTAAAAGTTATTGCGTTTGATTTTGTTGCAGTTTTTTATCTCTCCCTTCTTGATCAGCATAAAATACTATGTCGATTTAGCGATGTCCGTACGTCTGTCTGTATGTAGATATCACTCTAGCTTCCGAACGAAATGAAGTAGGTTGATAAAATTTAACTCAAATCTATGAAGGACTTTTGGTATGAACGATACCTTCCTATTTTCGGTATTTTGGTGATTTAAGCGACATTATTCACCGGAAATGTTTCAAAATTAGTACTTGAAGTTCGTTATGGATACTTTAGCCTATGGCAAAAAATTGTCCGTGCAGGTCAACGCCTTCGTGTAGCCCTCATACAACGGTACCTCCCGATAGTCGGAATTTTAATGATTTTAGCGACATTGTTTACAGCCTAAGACAGAAAATTGTCTGTGCAGGTCCACGTCTTCGTATAGCCCTCATATAACGGCACCGATAATCGGAATATTGGTGATTTTAGCGAAATTGTTCACCGGAATTGTTTCAAATTTTGTATTTGAAGTTCGTAATGGATACTACAGCCTATGACAGAAAATTGCCTATGCACGTTCGGATGTTCCTATAGACCCCAATATAACGCTAACTCCCTATATTCGGTATTTTTAAGATTTTAACAGAACTTGTGACGGATGTGTTTGTACATTTGTTTGTAACAGGCCAAAGGAAACGAGATAGACACATAGTTTCTTTTGATGATCTGCATAGAATCACATTCTGAGTCGATTTATGCATGTCCGTCCGTCTGTCCATGTATTTTTGTGAACAAAATACAGTTCGCATTTATAACCCATCCATTTGATGAAATTTTGATGAAATTTTGCACAAATCATTTGTTTGGCCCAAGGACGAACCCTGTTAAAATTGGAGATAATCGGTAAAATATATATCTTCGTCCGATTTGCCTTTTATTGTGCACCAAACGTGTAATATAAGCCCGAATAGTATGGAATTTTGCAAATTAGGCCTGAAAATAAGTATGGCAAATTTGATCGAAATCGGTTCAGATATAGCTATAGCTCCAATATATATTGTTCATCCGATTTGTTATTTTAGTCCTCCGCAGCCGTAATATGCTCTCTGTAACAACAATATTTGGTAAAATATATCAAATACAGCTCAGAAATACCTTTGCTAAATTTTATCGAGATCGGTTCGGATTTGGATATATCCCCCACATATAACTTCGTCCGATTTACTTTTTATTGTGCTCCAAACGTCTAATATTTGCCTAAATGGGATGAAATTTGGTACCTACGACCGAATTGAGTCTAGAAGCTAGTATGTCAAATTTGGTGAAGATCGGTTAAGATATAGCTATAGCTCCCAAATATTTTGTTCATCCGATTTGTTATATTTGTTACCCACAGCCGTAATATGCACTCCGTAACAACTATATTCAGGGAAATATATAAAATACAGCTCAGAAATATCTTTGCAAAATTTTATCAAGATCGGTTCAGATTTGGATATAGCTCCCATAAATATCAAATGGGCAATACCAGTCCGAATTTAAAAGATACTAATGCTTCGGCACATTTAGTCCTTTGAATTCTAAATTATAATTATAATCATAGCGTGTATGATTGAATTCTCCCATAAAAACTTGTAATGGTTATGTGGAGCTCTACTAAATTAGCAAAGTGGTGTAGGGTATCATAAAGTCGGCCCCGCCCGGACTTTCTTTACTGTTTTTTTTTTTTTTTTGAAAATTTACAAATTCGTTCCAAATTGTGAAGGTTATTCGCTGCTTTATTACTCGTTTTATTTAAGTAACTTTTAACAAATAATGTTGCTGCCCCATTTACTAAAAGAATACAAGATTTTCGAAATTTGTAGCTTTATTTAATATTTAATTTAAATATCCACTTCAAAACTTCCCAAACCCTCCTCCATTATGTTTTTCACTCAACTGAAAAAACATGCTGATAAATCTGCTTCTACACACACTGCCAACGTTTCTTGCGCCTATTCCACTCTCCTTTGTGGCTGGATGGAGGTAATGATGTTGACAATGATGATGTTGTGTTGATGACATTGATAAGTGTCAACATGTTGTTGTTGTTGCTGCTGTTGTTGTTCACTTTTTCTTTTGCTCTCTATAAATTTTACTTTTATTTTCACTTTTCATAGTTCATTTTATCACGATGACGACAGCGATTATAATGATTAGGCCTAGTATCCGGGTGGTTGGCATTTTTTTATTTATCAATTCCATGTAAATGGAGAAAGGCCAAGGTTGACAGGTCGGTGTGTGTGTCCGTATGTTCCTGTGTTGGTTTTTAATAGTTAAACTTTGTGTAAAATAAAGGTAAAATTATGCTGGCATATTTTCCGCTTGAAAGGAGCCTTCGATTAAAAAGTTTATGCATGAATAGAAAGAGAGGAGTATTTAATTTAAGTATCCTTTAAAATGTTCAACGTCGATACTTACGCAAAGGAATTTCCTCTGTTGTGGCTAAATGTCGACAAAATTTTAATAACTGACCTGAAAGTAGAGATAAGAAAAAAAGACAATTTATTAAAATTTGAACAATTTGTAATATCTTTTGAAATGTTTTTAGATAAGAAGCAAACAAATTTAAATGAGTGACATTGGGCTAAATATTTTTGCTGGAATATTTTTTAAGGGAGAACATGTGAAAAAGCTGTAAGTTCGGCCCGGCCGTATACCCTCCACCATTTGGTACAAATTTTGCAATTTTCAAAAAAAAAATAAAATTCGTTAAAAATTATGTTAAAATCTGAAAAATACCGAATGTAGACGTCATATTAGGGTCTATACGACGACGGAGACCTGCATAGGGAGGTTCTATTATTTGGAAGCTATACCGAAATGTGAACCTGCACAGACAATTTTCTGCCTAGGCTGCAGTATCCATTACGAACTTCAAATATCAAATTTGAAAGAATTCCGGTGAATAATGTCGCTAAAATCATCAAAATACCGAATAAATGGAGGTACCATTATTGGGGGCTATACGAAGACGTGGACCTGCACAGACAATTTTCTGTCATAGGAACATCAAATATCAAATTTGAAACAATTTCGGTAAATAACATCGCCAAAATTGACAAAGTACCGAATATCGGGAGGTACCGTTACATGGGGGCTAAGGAAGGCGTAGACCTGAACAGACAATTTTCTGCCTTAGGATGTAGTATTCATTACGAACATCAAGTACCAAATTTCAAACAATTCCGGTGAATAATGTCGCTAAAATAATTAAAATACCGAATAAAAGGAGGTACCATTATATGGGGACTATGCGAAGACGTGAACCTGCACAGACAATTTTATGTCTTAGGCTGTAGTATCCATTACGAACTTCAAATACCAAATTTGAAACAATTCCGGTAAATAGTGTCGCTAAAATCAGCAAAATACCGCATATCGGGAGGTATGGGGGTTATACCAAAACGTTGACATACATGGCCCATTTTCAATACCAAAAGTCCTGCAGACATAACACACATTTCAGTAAAATTTTATCAATCTACTTAAATTTGTTCGGAAGCTAGAGTAATTTCCACAGACAGACAGACGGATAGACGAACATCGCTAAATCGACATAGAATTTTATGCTGATCAAGAATATATATACCTTGTGGGGTCTCCATACTACGGTGGAGGGTATAAAAATGTCTTAAAGAAACAACCTCAAAATGTAACCTCTGATGATGCCCTATACTGATTATTGTAGAGTAACTATTGTCCTTTGGTCATATACCTTAGCTAAATGAGTCATTTTGCCGAATTTTCAAATAGCTTATGATAGTAAGCTAAAGCACAAAACAGCCTTTTGGTCTGCAGACAGGTCAAGTTCAAAAATGTTCTATATATCGGTATAGGATATCGTTAAGCCATATATTACGTTATCCCCAAATATCTGGTATATTAATGATTTAAGCCACATTTGTCCAATGGGAATGACTGAAATTCGGTATTTGAAATCAGTAGAGTGTTATACCTCTACCAGAAAACTGTCTATATATGTTAACGTTTCAATGTAGAGGAATTCGGTATTTTATTGAGTACAGTCCGGTTTTTCAATGAAATGGTCTGGAATTTGGTATGTAAACTTCATAATAGATGCTTATCCCTCTCCGATACACATATCTTTAAATGGTATTGTCTGGAACTCAATATATGTAGTTCTGAATTTGTCTATTTTGATGATTGTAACCACATTTTTCAATAGAAATAGGTTAATATAGGTCCCCTTTTTAAAATAGCCCCCATACCACGGTATCTCCGGATATTCGGTATTTTCATGAATTTTTCCGAATTCTTTCAAAATTTGGTATTTAAGCCTCGCAATACAAAGCGAACCCTTCAGCAGAAAATTAAGCCAAAATAAGAAAAAAACAACTATACAGTATAGGAAACGTGTGGTCCTACCGGTTCTGACTTAGCTGCAGACACCATTTTAAGGTGCCTCTTAATATTTGTCTTTTTGAAGGTTTCTAACACAATAGTGGTCTTTTTAAGATCATTGGCAGCGGAAGTGGCTGTAATTTGATATTTTGAAATCTTAATGAGTAAGAAACGTTCTCATATAAATTGCTGAATATACAGGGTGAGATAAAACAAACTGCAACAAAGTCAAATGATATAATTTTTATTTTTTTTTAATTTTATTGAATAAAAGCAAAAAAGGTCGGAAATAGCATCAAATTTTAGAATAAGTTTAGATTTGTCACCTTTGGCACGAATTATGGCGGCAAAGAAACCGCCACACTCAGGCCGAATGTTGGTCTGCGGTATTTTGACCCATTCCCGGCGAAGCGCTTGCTTGAGGTGATCGACACTTTGGTATTTTTTAGTGCCAACCTTGCTTTCCAAAATACTCCAGACACAATAGTCCAACGGATTGGTATCCGGAGATTTTGGTGGCCATTGTGCGCTGGAAATGAAACGAGGAACCTCATTTTGTAACCATTCTTGGATGGCGCGTGCTGAGGGCGATGGTGCTGAGTCCTGTTCGAATGTCCAAGGTCTGCGGCCAAATGTTAGCGTGTCCAAGGCTTTAATATATCCTCCAAAATATTTACGCGATAATATTTGGCATTTATTATGATGCCACGATCGATTAATGCGAGCGGAGAGCGACCGTCGGCGCTTATGGCGGCCCACACCATCACCATGGTCGGCGTTTGAGTTCTGGTGACAAACCGAAGGTGCACATTTTCAGCTGACCTCTTTGGCAAGTAAACACGACCATTTTGTTTGTTTACAAACTGCTGGTCAGCGAATGTTTTCTCATCGGAGAAAACCAAACCAGTTAACCACTTTCGGCCAAGCGAAGCAACTCTTAAGACCTTCTGAGTATATTTTCTTTCTGAAGCGGTTTAAGTTCTTGCACTTTTTGGAATTTCAATGCCTTTACCCCGAGCTTATTTTTCAATATTTGCCGAATGAAATATTGCGATGTGCTCAGTTCACGAGCCATTTTCGGCCACTGCGACGCGGATTTTGATCAAGTCGCTTCTTTACTTTTCGAACAATTTCTTCTGATGTTGCTGTTTTCTTCCGTCTGCTTCCTTGACGTCGGGCTACGCTACCAGTATCATGGTAACGAACGGTGGTACGAGACACAAAATATTTATTCACATTTAAATGCTGGAGTGCTCTAACGATAGCCACTTGTGGTTTTCCAGCCAAATATAAAGAAATCACCCTATCACGCTTAAATTCCATCACGAATAACCTGTTTTCCGGAAAATTATCACCAAAATGCTTTTGTACGCTTGTAAACAATATAATGAGCTGTCACTGAAATAATTTTAACAACTGTCGGACGAGTGGCTTAGAAATGAATATTTCAATGAGTTACAAACGGAATTTCAAACCTAATATACCCTCCATACTATGTTTGGTGGAGGATATAAAAATGCGTCGCACAGTATTAAAATGTATCGGATAAAGAATATCCTTTGTTGAATTTAGACCAAATCGATAGAATTTAATGAAAATCCCAATATGCACACAATTTCTTATGGAAATCATCTCCTTAAAATCTCAAGGGTTGTCACCCAAGCTCTGCCGGAAGTTTTTCCCTTTCCTTAATAATTGTATTTTAATGTCCATTCAAACACAAAAAATAAAATACCTGCCCTATACTTTAATGCAATTTTAAGTACTCGTATTGTACTCGATTTATTTCCAAATAAACTAAATAATTTATTGCAGGCTTTTTTTGTTTAAATTTTTAATTCACTTTCCATTCATTGATATCTCGGTGAAATATTCAAATGATACCTGAGGCAGATATATTTTTTTCTTTTCTTTTGTTGAAATTTCCCGTTAGTTTGATGTGTTAGAATTGATGTAGAAGTTCAGTTCCTAATGAATATTTAATTATATGTATATGTTCATCATATAATAGGCTGAAGAAGATGAATGGCTGGATGAATGTGTGTGTGTGTGTCTTGAGCCCACATCTCGGCAGACAACCAGGCCAGACCAAACAAACATTTTCGTAAAACATAATGTGATAATCTTTCCCCTGGCAATTTTCACAACTTTTCAACGAACAAAAATAACGGATGGACGGACGGACGAGAAAAAAACATGAATTTCGGCTTAAGGTTAATGTATTATACAAGGACAGTGGTTCGGGTTCAAAAAAATATAATATTGATTGCATCACAGGAGAAATAAGTGCCACGGGTGTCAGATGTTGATACACCTAAATAAAAACCACTGAAATATGGACATGTACGAGCTGTCTTCATCGACACATCATGGCAAAAAAAATGGGGAATCTTTCATCCCCTAGAGCCCAAAATGGTAGGTAAATTATGCTATATTTCAAAGCGTATCAAAAACAAGATAATAAGTATCAGTCCGTTTTGCCGACAGATATATACACTCAGCCAAAGTTCTATTATTTAAATATATTTTGACTTCTATTATGATTATTCAAATTGTTAGCCCTCTATGGAGTAGGTTCCGAAGGAATGGGTCAATATTGTACATTTCGTATCGGAACTAAATATTATATAAATATTGCAGCGTGTCAGGTTTGGACTATATCGATATGTGTATTATATTAGATATGTGTATAAGTTAAAGAAAATGTTAAAATGTGCGTAAGGTACCAGATATAGTCGACAGAAATATTCCATACAGATAAAAAATTTTGTGTGCAAAATTACCAGAAAATCGAACATTTATATCAAATTTTATACGAAATCATAATCAAAAATACGGAATTTATCTCAGGTTCCTGGTGGAGAGAAATATTTAGATATAGCAAGTTGTAAAGAATCGCTGACTTGTTTCGCAACTTATGACAATTGAAATTATTGAAAACTGCTACCCTTTTGTGGATGAGGTACCAGAAGGGATTGGCAGATATATATCATCTTCACAACAGATTTTGCGTTAGCAATTATATTTGGATGTATGATATTTGAGGAGAGTTGGATATTTATTTCTTGAACCCTATGTGGGGGAGGTACCAGAAGGAATGGTCCGATCTC